GGTGTACTATATATATATATATATATATATATATATATATATATCTACGGCACTGTCATTTGCGTCGTTTTGACGGCTTTTTATTTATTGGATTTTATGTTTCAGGTTTTCAAGTCTTATTTTGAAAAATTATACGCGGATAATTATAACAGATATGTAAACAGCAAGCTGTTGTAAGTTATTAAAGATTGTAAAATTCTATAATAATTTAAGCAGAATAATATGATTCCTATGAATGGAACTATTGAGATATCAAGTACAATCCACTGGGCGTAACTAGTGTTACCTATCTTAATATTGAATAAAATTTTAAACTGCATAACAGACAGACATATATTTTTACAGAAAATCACACTAGCATCTCATTAATATTCACATCTGCTTACAAGATGAAAGCAGGGAAATATTACAGAGAAAGGAAAGAAGGATATTACATGAAAACGGGAAATAAAATAGGGAAATAAAACAGAGAGGGATAAAATAGAGCAGAGTAAGCTAGAATGAAAGTAAGAGACTTACTGAGCACACAAACAGTAACTGGAAAACAATTTCCAGTGATGAGGGCAGTACGAAGGTAAATTTGTGAGATTACAATCACACATTAGTATAGAGTGAAGTAAGAGAGAACCTGGTTCAGCTATGAGGGCGAAGATAGCTTCAGAGGAATGGTATGAGCTGTTGCAGAGGTTTGCACAGGTGTATGATGGCAGAGGTTTAGGTGGATAACAGGATTGTTGCTGTTCTGGGTCAAGGTTCAGAGGTCTGGTTAGAAGCTCAGTCGAGGTTCAGAGGTCTGGTTTAAGTGCAGAGGCTCAGTCGAGGTTCAGAGGTCTGGTTTAAGTGCAGAGGCTCAGTCGAGGTTCAGAGGTCTGAAGGTAAGGTATCAGGGTTGCAATGGTTTCCGGGATGCTTATAGGTTTCCGGGATGCTCTGATATTTTAGGAAGAGGCTTAGAGGCTTAGGAGTTTTAGGATAGGAGAAGAGGAGAGAAGTTAGGCCCTGCTCTGGGATGAAGAGGGACTTCCTTCTTATAAGCTCGAAGGGAATCTTTTGAGCTGAGGTGGAACAGCTGGCATTGCTAGTGGGCGAGAGAGGACAAGAGTGGGCGAGAGAGGACAAGAGAGAAGGTGTCGGTAGCCCAATAGGAGAGAGGCATGATGTGACAAAAGAGGGAGATGCGACAAAAGAGGGAGAGAGGTGCTAGTGGACAAAACTAGCCCAATAGGAGAGAGGAGAGTGTCAGCAGGATGCGACAAAACTAAGAGCATAAGGGGATGCTCTGTGTACAAAAAACAAAAAACAAAAAAGTAAAGCATCTATGCACAGTGGCTCTTTTGACCTTATTACAATTTCAGTACAGTGTTTG